CTCATTTGTATTATTTACTTTAATAAAACAATTTTTTTTAAATAAATAAAAAACACACACAAAAAAAAGAGACATCTGGAAATGGTAATTTTTATAATAAAAAAATTAATAAAACAAAATATAACACAAATAAATCAATAAAAATTAACAATAAATAAAAAATAACACCGACATATAAATAAAGAGACATTTTTTTTAGTAAAAAAATAAAATAAATAAATACCAAAAAAACCTCTTGCTCTCAAAAAAAATCATTGCTCTCGTTGATTTTTATTGCTTCTATTCTCCTCATTTGTAAGTCGCTTTGGATAAAAGCATCTGCTAAATGACTAAATGTAAATGTAAATGTAATACATACCATACATAGACAGAAATGCTAAATTATACATACATCTGCATATATTGTTGCAAGTGTGTAAAAAGCAAAAACACTAATAATCTGAACAGTATATAATCTGTAAATATTTGTAAATATAATAATTGGAAAAACAAATACACATTTATTTTCAGAATATTAGCGTTTTTGCTTTTTACACACATGCAACAAGATCAGACATTAATTTAACCATTTAAATGTAGCACTAGTTTTGTGAACGTGAATGTTATGACATGGTTTAACAATAATTGTTGTGTTTTTATGCATATTACAAAATAAACTAGCACATTTAAACACTGATTATGGATTCAATTATTGTTCCTCCGTATATCTGTGAGTGTGTTTCACCTGTCGTGCCGTCTCTCGATGCTGTACAGGCAGATGGAGCAGTCGGCCCGGAACAGAATCACCACGTTACGAAACACGTTCAGCAGCAGCGTGTCGGCGTGAAGTTTAGTGACGCTGGCAAATGCGTTATCCAGGTTAGACGAGCGCACGTATAACCTCAGCTACAAGCACACATCAAGAAAACACATCAATGTACAGTTCAATCAACACTGATAAATGACAGGAATATTTACTGAAGTGTTCTTGCCTCTTCCTGCCGGTCAATGAAATTGTAACAGGCAACAACGACAAAGTCGTTCCACCACGCGAGGCCTCCCGTCACCGTCATATTCTGCTCCTGAAAACACACACATAAATGTTAGAAAGCTTCCACCACAGGCTCTTTCATGAGTTATTTTCCTTTCAAATGAAAAGACCTACCTGCGTGACGTTACCGAACAGTTTCCACTTCCTGGTATATAAGGAGTAATGTGCAATTCCACGGCGGCCAGCTACGGCCACACACTGACCAGACCAGTCTATAGCTGCGAACTACACACACACAAAGATTAAACCACTCGTTTCAGGAAAAACTGTCTGTTTTTAACCAAATGGAATGTTTATTGAAATGCTCATTAACATATGTCTGCCCATATATGCATATCATCACATATTCATTATACAGCAGCTTCACCAGCACTGCTGACTGACAAGAGTGAACTACACCAGTATATAAAGTTATCTAATCAAAACGGGGGTCATTTACATATTCAAGTCTTAAGGGTACAGCAGCAGGAGTGTGAGTCAGAGGATGGAAAAATAGTTATCAGAAACTACAAAATAAGGCCAGAAACTAACATATGTAGAGTTAAGGAATAAATTTTGATGTGAGAGACAACAGGAGATGCACTTTTTCACTGGAGGAAGCGTTATTTATTACTCATATTTTGGCCGGAAGCACCGGTTTGAAGTTAAAAATGTCTTGATGGATTTGTCTCAGCTTTTGTCTTCTCCAGATGTTAACTGATGGACTGGAGTGC